CCTGTCTCGTTATTAGTGAAGGAGAGAAGGATGCTGGGTGGGTCCTGTCTCGTTATTAGTGAAGGAGAGAAGGATGCTGGGTGGGTCCTGTCTCGTTATTAGTGAAGGAGAGAAGGATGATGGGTGGGTCCTGTCTCGTTATTAGTGAAGGAGAGAAGGATGCTGGGTGGTCCTGTCTCGTTATTAGTGAAGGAGAGAAGGATGCTGGGTGGATCCTGTCTCGTTATTAGTGAAGGAGAGAAGGATGCTGGGTGGTCCTGTCTCGTTATTAGTGAAGGAGAGAAGGATGCTGGGTGGGTCCTGTCTCGTTATTAGTGAAGGAGAGAAGGATGCTGGGTGGGTCCTGTCTCGTTATTAGTGAAGGAGAGAAGGATGCTGGGTGGGTCCTGTCTCGTTATTAGTGAAGGAGAGAAGGATGCTGGGTGGGTCCTGTCTCGTTATTAGTGAAGGAGAGAAGGATGCTGGGTGGATCCTGTCTCGTTATTAGTGAAGGAGAGATGGGTGTCCTGTCTCGTTATTAGTGAAAAAGAGAAGGATGCTGGGGGGTCCTGTCTCGTTATTAGTGAAAGAGAGAAGGATGCTGGGTGGGGATCCTGTCTCATCAGCAGTGAAGGAGAGAAGGATTCTGGTGTCCTACCTCGTCAGCAGTGAAGGAGAGAAGGATGCTAGGGTCCTACCTCGTCATTAGTGAAGGAGAGAAGGATGCTGGTGTCCTACCTCGTCAGTAGTGAAGGAGAGAAGGATTCTGGTGTCCTACCTCGTCAGCAGTGAAGGAGAGAAGGATGCTAGGGTCCTACCTCGTCATTAGTGAAGGAGAGAAGGATTCTGGTGTCCTACCTCGTCAGTAGTGAAGGAGAGAAGGATGCTGGATTATCCTGGTCACTGAAGACAGGAGATGATCCTCGCAGCATCCACAAACGGAGCAGCAAGATGACCACTCCCTGTATGAAAAAAAAAAATAATTTACACGTCTACAAATCATACAATACCGTGGCTGAAACAATTTACAACAATTCGTAATTTTATTTACAAGCTCAGAGCTGTTACTTAAACCCAGTTGTTTTATAAACCTTCCCACAGCATTGCCTCCATTAAACCATTATTTTACTGAAATATTAAAATAATGAACAGTGTGACGCTGTAGCCAACTGTGGTGGTCAGATATTCCGTCTGGTCGGATATACAGACCAGTACGAGAAGTTAATTCAGTATCTTTATTATGCACCCCCATACCCATCCTATGGGTAGTAGTTAGAATTACAGAGGTACATAATGGGTCCAGGGACTAGACCCCAATGTTTTGATACCTGAACAGGTTACAAAGGTAATTAACTATTTTTATGTTTATATCTGGTCATGCAGATATCAGTTAGGTAGTGCGAGAAGTAGATAGTAGGGTGGTAGATAGTAACTATCCAGGGAGGTACTACTAGCCTGTCACATTAGTGTGTAATCAAGAAAATTGAATCATTTTTGTACACTCTGGCAGGGTGGTTCCTGATCGTTTCTTACTGTCTCGTGAACACGCGAGATGACAGGTAAATCTTGTCTCATGCACACGTAAGACAGCAGGTAAATCTTAGTGTCTCATGAACACTTAAGATGACAGATAAATCTTGTTGTCTCATGAACATGTAAGATAGCAGGTATATCTTGTTGCCTCGTGAGCACGTAAGATGACAGGTAAATTTTACTGTCTCATGACCACGTAAGATAGCTGGTAAATCCTTCTGTCTCGTGACCACGTAAGATAGCTGGTAAATCCTTCTGTCTCGTGACCACGTAAGATAGCTGGTAAATCCTTCTGTCTCGTGACCACGTAAGATAGCTGGTAAATCCTTCTGTCTCGTGAACACGTAATTTAGCAGGTAAGTCTTACTGCCTCGTGAACACATAAGATAGCAGGTAAATCCTTCTGTCTCATGAGCACGTAAGATAGCAGGTAAATCCTTCTGTCTCGTGAACACGTAATTTAGCAGGTAGTCTTACTGCCTCGTGAACACATAAGATAGCAGGTAAATCCTTCTGTCTCATGAGCACGTAAGATAGCAGGTAAATCCTTCTGTCTCGTGAACACGTAATTTAGCAGGTAAGTCTTACTGCCTCGTGAACACATAAGATAGCAGGTAAATCCTTCTGTCTCATGAGCACGTAAGATAGCTGGTAAATCCTTCTGTCTCATGAACACGTAAGATGACAAATCTTACTGTCTCATGACCACGTAAGATAGCTGGTAAATTTTGCAACCTTCTACTTACATTCTTTATACCCACACATTTACCTTTCTATGTGCTTGTTAATAGTTGTTAATTAATAGTGTAAGAGTCGCCTTGTAACCCAGTAGGTCTGGTCTGGGACCGGGACCTGGGAAAGATAATCCCCGGAACCACTTAAAACATTTAACACCCGTGTCTTACCATGGCACTGAGACAGAAGAGTCTTCTGAAGAGGGGCTGTAAAGGCCTTCTGGCTGACAGACGACACAGTGACCTGTAAGATG